GGGAGAAAGTGAAGTTTGTTCCTTAAAGCCACTGTGTGGTAGCTTTGCAACAACAGCACTTATGTGGATCGGCCTGTGTCCCTCGCCTGGCAGCCCGTTGAGAGTGTGTTGTCTGGAGTTGTACTGGATGGGATTAGTGTGCGGTACGTCTTAAATCAAGCTCTTTCGAGACACGAGGTTAAAGGAGTTAGAGAAACAGATGACGGGGAAGATGCCAACCCCAGGAAGATCACCTAAGGGCAGAAGCTGAGAGGGACAAGGACCTTCCCTAGAGCTGGCAGAGAGAGGAGACAGACGCACAGACAGGGAGAACGGGGGAGGGAGGAGAGACAAACAAAACAACAAACTAAAGGCATGGTGAGTGTCTGGCCTCTCACTCCACTAGAAACAGTGAGTCACCATCTGCACGGCCATCACCACCTTCACCTGATTCCCAGGAGGCTGAGGTCAGACCCGCCTCCACCCTCGACATGAGCCACCCTCCTGAGTCCTCTCTGCGGAGCCCATGGGCCACACACATGGCTGGGGAAGGGCTGAGGGTATGGTCACACCACAGGTGGGCTCTCCTTCAGCCCCTGGGCCCCTTGGCCTGGCCTCTGCCCTGCCCAGGCAAGTGTGACAAAGCTCCTTAGCGCTGTGGGCAGATAAGAGCCCGGGGCCACCTGCTGCCTGCCCTAAGGCACGCTGTCCTCCCCCCCACTCCCCAGGGGTGTGTGTGGCAAGCCTACTGCTGCTCTAGGACTCTGTGAATGGACCAGCCGCTGTTTTCTCGCACTGTGGATCCTGGTGCTGCCACCACATCTCCCTCTCCTCCGTCATAGCTCTGTCCCTGGAGCTGTGAGGGCCTCATGCAGGAACTGTGTCCAAAGGCCATGTTTCTACTAAGGCCGTTTCCTCTGTGGACACAAAGTTCCCTGCCTAGCTCTGGGATGGCTCGTTTTAAGCCTGGTGGATGGCAGAGCTGACCCACCCCTCCGTAGGGTTTCATACGCCTTATTTGCAAGGTTCCACCCAAATCTGTGCAGTATTTGCAAGCTGTTCACTCCCAGGTAGGCGACAAGCACCTCATTTGCACAATTCCACACTGTCATTTGGGGGGAGTTACAGACCATGAAAAGAAAGCCACATAAAAGTGACCCCTTAACCCAGAGAGGTACCTGCCACCCAGACGTGAAGAAAGCCGGTCATGCAGCCAGCTCTGAGCAGTGCTGGGGAGAAGGGGGCAATTGGAAACAGGGGCTTGACTCTCCATTGCCACCTTCTCGAGGCGCCAGGTCAAGAGAGAAGCTTCGTGGGGCTGTGCTGGGTAGGAGGGGGTTGTGCTGGGGGGATCTTGGTAGAAGATTATGCAGAAGGGTCCTCCTAGGAAATACATGAAGGTTTCATAGAAACGTGCGTGCGCGCGCGTGCACACACACAACCCCCCTCCAGGTTTGGGCGATCCCCACCTAGGGATGGCTGAACCTCACAGCGCGGCCTAACCAGGTTCTCAGCCACACAGAGCCAGAGCCTCTGATCTAAGACTCAGAATACAAGGGCGGCCTTTCCCAATTCTGGAATCAAAGGAAACCCAGACAATGAGTCTGGAGCAGGAAAAACCCAACTGTAACATCCTCTGTGGTCTGAGAGACCACATCCGCGCAGAGAAGGCAGAGCCGCCCTTTGAAGCCGGCGAGGCGAGTGTGAGCTTGGGAGACGGGAAGTGTGGAAGGAGAGAGCAGTGGGAAGTTTGTTGGAAGGAGGCTGAGGCTACTGGAGCCCGACTAACGGTCAGAGAGAGAAAAACAAAAATATTCAAAGAGAGAAAAACAAAAATAATTGTTCACAACCAACCACCTAGGCTTCATTTTACAAGCCTTCATTTTCCTGTGCATATGTAATTTTAAAAGCACAATGGAGCCCATCCAACTCTCCATCTTCCACAATTTTTATTGATGATTTTATTTAATGAGAATATAATGAGATTTCCCCTACTTAAAATACTCGTGATATGGTTTTAGTAGCAGAACAGACAGGCCTAGAGCTGAGGTCTCTTGCTACCAGCCATGCATGTCCCCCAAGCCCTCTGGCACATCAGGCCATGAGGACTGCAGCCCCTATGTGTCCGTCACTGGGGATGCAAAGCCAGAGACACCAGTGACACTGGGCCCCACGTTTTCACCGCCGGAATAAGGGTTTGGTGTTCAAAGCTGTTGGTTTAAGAACACTTTGTTAGGCAACACTAATTATCAAAATCACTCACGTTTAAACTGGGTTGCCTTTAAAAACAAGTTTTATTGGCATATAATTCACAGTCATACAATTCAATAGTTGAATCATCTTAAGAGGAGGTGCACAATTATCACCACAATCAATTCTAGAACATTTCCTTCTGTCTTACCCTCATTGTTATTAGCTCCCCATATTCCCTGTAGTCCCCATCCTGTTATACCCCCAGAAACCAACAAGGCTGTTAGTGTCTCTATAGATGTACCTCCTGGATTTCCTACACAGAAAAACCTCTGAAAACACCACCACCAAACCAAACCAAACCCTGACAAGAATAACAAAACAGGAAAAAACCTCAGATGGAAAGAAAGCAGGAAATATTAAACACCAGAACAAGCTGAACGTGGGCCCAAAGGAGATCACACAACACGGTTACTGTCCTGTACACAGTTTAACCGGTCAATCTTCCTAAGATCTGTGAGGTCACCGACACCCTTCTTCCTGGATGGCCACAGGGCTCTCTGTGCCTGCTTCAGAGGTGGCCGGCTCTTACGGACCCAGGGGACAGCAAACCTGATGGACATCCTTCATCGGGGCTGTGTACACCTGATCTGCACGGCCCCAGCCCATCAGTTCCTGGAGAGACAGGGACAGAAGTCACACCGAGCAATTCCACATCGCCACAGGCAGACCCGCCAACGGGCAGGGTGAGGAGTCCAGGGTAGGGGTGTGTGTCCCCCCCACCCCACCCCTGGCCACCACACTTGCCATTTTCAGGTCACAGGCAGGAAGAGATCTGTGCTCAGCCTGGGCCTTTGTTGTGTGTGTGTGTGTGGTGGTGGTGGTGGGGCAGCAGGGGCACAGGTTCTGGGTGGATGCTGAGCCAATCCTTTGCTGGCTGTAACTGTGGATGTCAAAGTGGGGGTGTCACACAATGGAAGATTGTTCTCTCACAGTTCTGGATGCCAGAACCAAGATATTCCAGGGCTGGTCCCTTCTGGGGACTCTAAGGGAGACACTGTTTCATGACTCTTCAGGGATCCCTGCCACTCCTACCCTCTCTGCCATTGAGTGGATGCCAACCCACAGCCACCCTACAGGACGAGATAGAACTGCCTCTGTGGGTTCTGAGACTGTAACTCTTTACAGGAGTAGAAAGCCCCGCTTTTTCCCAAACTGCCGACGACCTTGCAGTTAGCAACTCTACAAGTGCCCGCTATGCGGCTGGGGCTCCCCACTGCTCCTTAGCGAATCAAATTTCCCGCACCTTATTAGTGAGAGCCAGCCAGGTCTCCCTGGGTTCCGCGTAGGACATAGGATGTGAAAGGAGAAGTTTCACTTTGGCTGATCAAGGAGCAAGCCGAACTGCACAACGGGGTCCGAACTGCACAACGGGGTCCGAGGGGATTATGAATTCCTAACAGATTGGCAGGAGTGGACACGAATAGGCAGGGCTATGATTCACAGCCAGGAAGTGGCTAGTTGGGCCTCTGGCTTCTAAATGTGGCCCCGGCTGGCCTGCTTAACTCTACTTCTTCCTTGATCTAAGTTCTTCGATGCCAGGGCCAGCTGGAGGTTTGCTACTGTCTTCATGAGCAGGGTCGGCTGGCCCCTTCTCGCTGGCTGCCATGGACTGCATTCCCAGGAGGAAGAATCGAAATAAACAGGTGCGAGGAAGGAACCCCAAGCCCCGATCTGCAGCCATCCAGCCAAAGCTGCCCCGAAAGAGGGTTCCTCAGACCGTCACTCTGTGTGAGCAGACAGCCCTGTCTTCTCCCAACCAGCGGCAGGTGCTCTGAGCCACGGACCTTGTGGTTAACAGCAAGACACCTAGCCCACAGTGCCACTTGCCAGGAGGGGAAAGAAAGGGTTACTGTTAGCTCCTGGCTGAGGTATGTTTCAGCACCTTGTCCCTGATAGCAGCTGGCACATCAGTGGTTGGCTCTCTGGGCTAAATGAGTAAGGGTATGCCACTGGGTGAGGACCTACGCCAACACAGTGTGACTTCACCGTCACTTGATTAAGTCAGCAAAGACCCCATTTCCAGAGGAGGGGTGATCACACTGCTGGGGGTTACACTTTCAGCACAGCTTTTGGGAGCCCGGTAAAACCCAGGATGGTGCTCTAGCTCCTGACCTGCGTGGCCTGGCCAGGGGTGGGAGGGCAGTGCTCTTCGGAGTTATGAGGGCCATGGCTAGTCTATCTTCCCAGTGCTCACTGAGCACCCCTTCCCCACAGACCTGGGCAGGCCTGGCACTTCCTCCCTGACCCACAGGCCTACAGCTCTGCCTGGGCCACAAGCTTCCGCTCTGGGGCGCCCCCGCCTTGCTGTGGGGACACCTGGATATCTGCGCGACTCTGTCCCCAGGAAAGCTGGCGGCTTCAGCCCCACAGTGGTCTGCCACAGCTCTGGAACTGGGGCATGGCCGGCCCGGCCAGGGCTCTCACCGGCCACAGGGCCCGGTTTCTAAATATCAAGTGACTTTCACCTGTGCCTGGGGAGCAGCGGTGCCCGCCCCAAGCCCCTTTCCCACCAGGCGTTCCCACCACCGAGGCCTCACAGCCCCTCATGTCCACTCCCTCGTCCTCGTGGAGGCCCCGCAGACCCGAATCCAGTCCCCAACTCGCAGCCCAAGTCCACCTGACAGGGCCACTACGCGCTACGGTCACGCCCCGGGCGCAACTCCCCAGGGCAGCCAGTCAAGGGCCCTGGGCGGCTCCACCTGCGTGGCTCTCGGAGGTACGACCTGCGCGCGCCGCGCCGCCCCACTCGCGCCGCGCATGCTCAGAGGCCACAGGTCGTTCGCGCCGGCTGCTGGCAGCTTCCCCTTCTCCAGGCTCTGCGTCCTCCCGGCTTGGCCCCGGGCGCCATGGACAGGATCGAGGGCGTAGCCGTGGGCCGCTGCACCGACTCGCCGTACCTGCGGCCGCTGACGCTGCACTACCGCCAGGTGAGCCCGCGCAGCCGCGGGCCTTTCGTTCCCGCCCCGCCCCCACGACGTCCCTGAGGCCCCGCCCCCACGTGGCCGTCCCGCCCCCGCTGGGCCCGCCCAGGAGGCCCCGCCCCGCTGTCTACCCCGCCCCACCCCGCGTCCGCCGCCCCGCCCAGTCGAGCTGCGGCCTCCGCCCCCGGCCCCGCCTTTGTCCTCGGGGTCCCAGAGCCGCCCAGCCTCCAAGCAGGTGTGCCCAGCCAGCCTTCTCTGTGCCCCGTGCCTTGGCGCAGTATGATTGACCCGGCATCCCGGACAGGGGTCAGGGAGGTCTTCTCAGAGGCGGTGCCCTCGTTGCTGTGACTTGAAGGAGTCGATAGATGGCAGGAGGCAGGAGGGCTGGTCGTGGGGGCCAGTGAAGTGAGCTTCCTCCTGGTCCATGGGAGGGACCGCCCGCCTCCCAAGCTGCTAGTCTCTGAGAGCTGGGTCAGGAGCCCGTGGCGGGCGCACAGACCTGGGTGACCAGGGCGTGGAACCTCTTCCCTCTCCCCACGCAGGATAGGAGCCCGGCGCCCCACCTCCTGAGCAGGGGTGGGGTGAGGGTCCGGTGGGCTTCACGCTCACACCTTGCTGTCCCCCTTTTATGTTCGGAGCTGGGGCTCCCGCACGGTGGTCCGCTGGAGTGCGCCCTCTGGAAGGGGTCACTGTTCCGTGTCTGTAGTGCCTCTCCAGGACCCAGCCTCTGGACAGCTCCTGCTGAAGCCCCGCCCTTGGCCCCTGTCTCCCCTCCCCCACTTCCTGTGCTTGTGCTCCCGCGGCCTGGGAGGACAGGTTTTCACGCCCCCTGAGCCCAGGTTTACAGCTGGTCTAGGGCAGTAGGAGGGCCGGCGGTGGGGGAGGCTGGTGGGCGTGGGATTGCTGGTTGGCTGCACAGCCCTGGAGGGCCTGAGGCTCTTGGGGCACTGGGAGGGGCGGGGCTGCTCACCACAGCCCTCTAGGAGCTTTGGGCAGCTGGCCGGTCTGCATTGGTGTGGATAGGAGGTATCATTTGACAGTAAGTGGCTACAGGCTGCGGTGGGCAGGGCTGCTGAGTGGGGGGAACCGGGTGGATGGACAGACAAAGGAAGGGTCTGGTCGGGGGTGGTGTGTGTGTGTGTGTGTTTTCACACCCCAGCCCTGCCCCACACCCTCCCCCTCCCATCAGACTGGACCACAGGTATAGGACATGGGAGTGGGGCCAGCTTACCTGGGCCCATCCTGGAGATGGCTGCCCCACAGCAGGTGGATGTTAGGCAGGCACAGGCTTGCCTACTGGGCAGTGCCTCACAATGGCCTGCGGGCACTATGACCTGGGTGCTTGGGGACACCAGCCCCCCATGGAAACCGAGGCTGCCGTCCGCCTTGCCTAGAGGCCACTGCCTCCTGGCCAAGCTCAGACCAGTCTGGCCACCTGTGTCCTGACACCCAGCTGTCCCACCCTGCCGTTATGGGGCCGAGGCAACTGCCTCCTCCGGGAAGCCCACCCTGGGCTCCCAGTGCAACTGCCTCCTCAGGGCCCACTGCTCAGGCCCAGGTGCAGACACGCCTGGCCCCTCCCCCACCTGGACAGAGTCTGTGGTGGAGCCAGCTGCTCCCCTAGCCTTGGGCTGCCATGTGACTGGGTGGCAGATGGACTGGAACTGGGGGTGGGCCCCTGAGGAGGGGTGGAGGCAGACAGGATGCCCCTTCCCCATGCAGCCCTGAGGCTGGCCTTCGAAACCTGGAGTCTGCCCTCTAGGATGGGGCCCAACTGGCAGGCCCCTCGTACGCTGCATGCTGAAGCACCCAGTGGACTGCCCCTGGCCCCTGCCTCTGGCCCGCCCTTAAGTTCCCTGGGAGTTCGCTGTGCAGGCCCTGGGCGCCCACAAGGGCAGAGGCCCCAGGTCAGAGGCGAGCTGTTTGCCTGGGCTTCAGCAGCCTGCACAGAGGGCATAGACATATTGGGATCTCTGGCCCCCAGACTCCAGGTCGCATCCTTGGAGTGCCGGCTGTGAGTGGTCTCCCAGCCCCTGGGACCCACCATGCCAGAGCTGGTGCTCTTGTAGGTGGGCTGCTTGGCATTCCTGGCATGTGGTGGGTCTCACTTGGTGACAGCCTGCTCTACCCCGTGCCCTGTAGTACCCTGCCTAGGATGCCCTAGCACCCTGCCCAGCCTTGGCTCAGCCCAGGATGTCCCCTACCGATTGCCCCCTGCTGCCACACCCAGTGGGTCTGGTGCCGGTGCAGCGTGGGCTGTCTGGTGGTTGGGACCCTGGATTCCTGTCCACCTGGGGCCACCTGTCTGACTGCTGTCACGCCTCTTTCAGAATGGCACCCAGAAGTCCTGGGACTTCATGAAGACGCATGACAGGTGAGGGCACAGCCTGGCCTGGCAGCCCAGGGGCACAGACGGCCCAGAGGAGGAAGCCCTCACAGTTTCCAGACCTCGAGACCTCTGGCCTTGGTAGCCCTGAGGCCTGCAGGCTGGGCCACAGTGGTGGGCAGGCTCCTCGGAGCTAGCAGTGAACAGCTGGCCAGCAGGGGTCACGTGTCCCATCAATCATCAGCTGGGCTCCGCTGCTGTCACCTACCCTTGTGCCCTCCTCCCCACCCCAGTCACCTCCTGTTATCTGGGATCTGGCCTCAGTTTCCCTGTCAGAGCCAGGGGCCCACCTTTCTCAGGGTGTGGACTGGGGAGGGAGGGTCCTGAGCGCAGAGCTGTTTGCTGAGCGGCCTTCTCCCCACAGTGTGGCCGTCCTCTTGTACAACGTCACCCAGAGGAGCGTGGTGTTGGTGAAGCAGTTCCGGCCAGGTGAGGTTGCCCTAGGGTCACTGGCCAGCCCCTTGGTCCCTGAGGTCTGGGTGGCCGGCCCGTTGGTTATGTTCCATGCTTTTCCCACAGCTGTGTATGCTGGTGAGGCTGAGCGTCTCTTCCCAGGGTCCCTGGCAGCGGTGGACCAGGACACGCCCCGGGGTCTGCAGCCCGCCCTGCCCGGCTCCGCAGGTGTGACCTACGAGCTATGTGCAGGCCTGGTGGACCAGCCAGGGCTCTCGCTGGAGGAGGTGGCCTGCAAGGAGGCCTGGGAGGAGTGCGGCTACCGGCTGACCCCGTCCGACCTGCGCCGGGTCGCCACGTACAGGTGGGCTGGCTGGACCTGCAGGCTGCCGCAAGTGACCCAGGGCATGTCCAGTCGGCCAGCCAGGAGTGAGCGCCCTGTCCCCAGGCTGTGCTGGCAGACGGATGTCTCTTTGACTGTGGGGTTGGGAGGGTGGGTGGCATCTCCAGGAAGCCAGGCCGGAACTGGGGCTCCCAGGGCTTGTTTGGGAGCAGTCTGGGCCCCATGCCCCCACCCTGCAGCCCCCAGCCACGTGGGGCTGACTCCCGGGGCAGCTGCTGCTGACAGGTGCCTGCAATTCCTGTGGGATTACATGCCGGGGGTGGGGGTGAGTCAGCGCTGGTCTCAGACTCTCAGGAATGGGGGCTGAGCTGGCCCGGCAGTGGGCCTGCAGCTCTGGGCTGGTGAGGGAGAGCCAGGTTTGGGGACTGCCTCACCAGAACCCATTCTAGCCCTTGGGACCCCACTGGCTGGGTCTGCCTTCCCAGCACAGAGGGTGTGGGCTCTAAGGGATGCCATCCCTGCCTGGGGCTGCTGGGGTGGGGGTGAGAGGGTGTTTTCTGGCACAGGGTGCCTCTCTCATCACTAGATCTGACCCTGAGAGTCTCTCAGGACTCTCCCCTGAGAGTCCGGGGAGGGTGGTGGGCAGACTTCAGTGGTCTGAATGGCTCCCTGGGTACTGGCCAGTGGTCTGCCAGGGGCCCTAGGCCAAGGATAGATGCAGGCTGGCTCCAGAAGGGCTTGGGGTCTCTGGCAGAGGGGGGCCTGGGACCAGTCCTAACAGTGTCCTGTGGGGGGCAGAGGCTGTGCAGGCAGGGCTATGGCCAGTTTGAGGGCACCGGGGACCCATGGGGAATGGGAGCAGCCAGCTCAGACTTGCGAGCGAAAGAGGAGTGTGCGTGTGTGGTGGGGCTGGGCGGTAACTCACTCACTTACTCCCAGGTGACAAGGAGGCTGAGGGCATCCTTGGAGGGGCAGGGGCGTGCTTGCACTGTGGAGGGGCCAAGGCTGGGAGAAGGCAGTGCCCAGGGTCCTGTTGGGCTTGTCCCTCACGAAGCCACAGACTGCGGCCACCATCAGAAGCACAGGCTGTGGGCGCCTCAGGAAACGGGCCACCAGGAAGGGGTCAGCAGGAGATAAGGGGTGATAAGGCTGGAGGCGGCCGAAGAAGCAGCTGGGATGAGGTCAGTCTGGGCTGGGGCCACCACCCACCGAAGAGGGGACTCCCTTACACTGCGTCCATCCCCGAGCCGTGGGCCTTCTGCCTGGCCCTCCGGCCTGCATGTGCTGCAGTCAGCTGGTCTAGCCCCGTCCATGGCCCACTAGGTACATGCAGGGTGCAGGGCTATGTGGGGAACTCTCTGGTTTGTCCCACTGCCCAACTAGCCAGGCCCACTGGGTGCAGGTGGGACACCTGGTCGAGTCTGTACCCGTCAGTGCCCACCCATCAGTGGGCAGCACATGGTCCCAGCGCCCCTTCCTGTCTTAGCAGCCTCTGTGGGCGGCATGTTGTCGGGGCCACATGTCAGCAGGGCTGCAATCCCACTAGCAAGGCTCTGTGGTATAGCTCATTCCCAGTGCATGTGTTACCTTTCTGGCTGTTAATTAGGGACCCTAGTGCCTGGAGGCCGTGAGTCCTTGCCAAGAGGCCCCCTCATGGGCCCTCTCTCAACAAGGCCAGCACAAGAATCTCTCTGGCTTCTACCAGCTCTAAAACTCACTTGATGATGTCAGGCCCACCCATTTGACTAACCTACAATCAACTGATTCGTGCCCTTAATTACATCTGTACAATGCTTTCACCCATCTCCTTCCCAAGTTTGGCCCACGCTGGATAGGGGGTTTGTGCACTGGGGGTGGAGAGCTGAGGAGTTGGGGGGAGGGGTGCTGTGGATGGCTGAGCTGACGTTGTCTTCCCCTGTAGGTCTGGCGTGGGACTGACCGGCTCCAACCAGACCATGTTCTTCGCGGAGGTGACAGACGCCCAGAGAGCCGGCCCGGGCGGGGGCCTGGCAGAAGAGGGTGAGCTCATAGAAGTTGTGCACTTGCCCCTGGACGGCGCCCAGGCCTTTGCAGATGACCCCGACACCCCCAAGACCCTTGGCGTCATCTTTGGTGTTGTCTGGCTCCTCAGCCACGTGACCCCTAGCCTGGGGGCCCAATACCATCCCACCCACTGACCAGCAGACCCAATAAAGGCTGTGCAGCAGTGCCTGTACCTGCTGGTCTGAGCGCTGGTACTGGGGGAGTCAGGGAGGGCTGGGCAATGGTGAGGCCTTCTGAGGGAGGCGCTGTGGAAGGATTCCCTCCCCAGCTCCATGGAGCAGAAGGCCCTACTCTAGGCCTGGGACACGGACAGCAGAGCCCCAGGGCAGGGCCAACCAGGAACCCTCTGGATGGCAGCCCACAGGAGCAGGGGCTGGGGGCACAGGTGGGGCAGGCTTCCTGTACAGGCAGGGAAGGTGTTCAAGAAGGGGGCCTGGAAGGCCTGGGCTGGGCCTGCTGGGCAGTGGGCCACTGGGGTGGGTGGGGACATGTCATATTCCAGAGAGTGAGGCGGAGTCCCCACCTTGGTCTAAAGCAGGCTGGAGATCCCTTCAGGGCCCCTGTGCCCTGGCCACCAAGTACTTGACCAGCTCCTGGCAAGTGCCCTAAGACCTGGGCTGGGCTGAGGTGGCAGCCTCGGCCTGCCAGCTCTCCTGTGCTGCCCTTACCGGCCCATGCTGTTTGGTAGGTACTGTTGGCCACCATCATGTGCACCAGGCTCTCTGACCTGCCCTAGAGGCTGTGGTTTCAGGGAGGTTCCTGGGGCAAGGACCTCCAGGATGCACCTTGGGACCAGTGCAGTGGTGATGGGGACCTGCCTGTGGTCCAGGAGGCCCCCTTTCAGAAGGCCCCTCTCCAGAGTCCTCCAAGCCCTCTAAGGGACATCTGGGGGTATGGGGTCAGCCCTAGAGTGGGCATGCTGCCTCCGAGTGACCAGGGCTGTTGTTACAACCTTGGCTTGGTCCTCTGCTAATGCAGGCAGAGGCAGGGCCATCGCCCGATGGGGGGCTCTGTATGGGAGGCTGAGGTCCCCCGGTCCTACTACTGACCTCAGCAGGCAAGCCTTGTATGAGTGTCCACACATGGAGGTCCAGGTGCCCTGGCAGCCCTGGCTGGTGGCTGAGCACGGGAGCAGCAGCACTGAGGGGTACAGTGGCCAGCCCCAGGCTTAGCTGTCAAGGCCACTCCGGGGAGGAGGGTGGCGGTCAGCCCACAGGAGCAGCACCACCTGTATGCAAATACAGGCCAGGAGCCAGGTGGGGTGTCCTGGGATCCCAGCCAGAGTAGTGATATGGTGCTAGGGAGAGGGGCCCTGAAAGGTGGGGCCAATGCAGGTCTGAGGGGCCGGCCACACATCTGATGAGCAAGGTACAAACCTAGGCTTGAGGCTGTCCACCCAGCTCCCATGCCAGCCAGCCTGATGCCCACCATCAGAGCCCCATCGGAAGTTGCTGCTGAGGGCACAGGCTCAGAGCTGCCCTGGGGAGCATGCTGGCTCCAGACTGGCGGGTGGACAGGGTACCTGGACCTGGGCCCTGTCCAGCCCCCCTCGCTCTGCTTCAAGATGGGAAGGCCAGCCGGCTTAATGGAGCTGGCATCGATTTCCCAGCACCCGGGGGGGCTGTAACCAGAAACCCCCCCTCCCTGGCCGCTATATTTAGCCTAAAGCACCCGCCGGAAGCACTGCTTGCTCCCGAGCTCAGCTGGCTCTGTCCAAACGGGACAGGCTGGTCCCCCTAGCCAGGGAGGGGCCATACTCTGAGCCTGCCCCACCTTAGGACTCAGAGAGGAAGCCCCCTCCACCTGATGGCAGTGGGCCCCAGGGCATTAGAGGGTGCTTACTTGGGAAGACAACAGGTCAGGACAGCCTGGCCAGGCAAGAGTGAGGCTCCCCTGCCCCCAGCCCTTCAGTGTCAGGCACACACTACTCCTTTCTGGAGGGTCATGCCCAAGGTCCAGCTGCCCGCGAAGTCCCTGAGAGGAGGGGACTCCAGAAGAAACGCTGCACCGCTGTGGCCTGCAATGCGCATTCCTCCTCAGGGCCATTCTGGCTGAGGTTTTGGCCAAAGTCTCAGAGTGGTACCTTTAGATCTAGGGCGTGGCCCCAGCAGGCAAGGGGGAGGGGACTGTGAGCTGGGTGGCACCCTGGATTGGAAGGGTACAGAGCATCCTAGCTGGCTACCAGCTGCTTAAGGCTAAGGGGATCCAAGTCCATTCCCAGAGGGCCTAGGGCAAGCAGGGGGGCTGACTAGAGATGGGTGGGCCAAGCTAGCCGCTGCCAGCTCCATCAGCCACTCACACAATGTATGGACTAGTCTGCGTGGTCCTCTGCTCCAGAGAGCAGAGGGCTAGGAGAAGCAGGACGGCCATTTCACCCTGAGTCCCCCTTAGGGCCTCTTTAGACAGGGCCCCAGCACTAGCTCTGCCTGCTCACCTGTCTCAGCAAGCTGCCACCCCGAATCTGCCCTTCTCTGGCTCCTTAGTGGTCTAGATCCCCTGCCCACCCCAGGCTAGTGGGCAGGGGCTGGCTGCATGCTTGCTCACTGCTTGGCTGAGCACCCCCTTCAGGGTGGGTTTCCTAGGGTGGGGGTGGAGGAGTGTCCCACTCCCCAGGAGCCTCCAGGTGGTGAGCCTGCGGCCTGTGGGAGGACAGGGGGTAGAGGGTTAGTACAGACCCAGTGCCTTGACTTGGTGGGGGCTGTTGTGTGCAGTGCACCTACCTGGCTTGTGTCCTGTGGCACACACCTTAACCCCCCACCCTGCTCATGAGGTGCAGGTCGAGGCGTGCACTCTGAGGGCAGAGCCAGCGCCCACTGGGGTGGGGCCTGGATCCTGAAGGCTGCTCACAAGGGCCTGTGAGCTAGGAGGTGGGAGGGGGTTCAGGAGCTGGGCAGGGTGCCCTGGGCAGTACTGGGCACACTGCATGCCCAGTAACACCTATCTGGGAGGCCTCCTTCCTGGGTCACACCCTAGCCTCCTGCAGCGCTGGAGGGCTCCATGGTGCCCACACCCACGTGCTCCCCACCATGGCAATCAGTACTCCCAGACAGGGGCCACCCCCAGCATGCAGACCAAGGCCCATGAGCCCCGGTAGTGGAGCGAGTGTGGGGCTGGTGACATCCCCCCACCCCACCATCCGGTAGGATCATTAACTCCAAGGCCACTATTGCCATCCTAGGCGACAGACCCGTCCAGTGTTGGGAGGCGATGTTTGGGGACTAGGAGGGTGGCCAATTGGAGGCAGAGGGGTGGGACATGGGTGCCGGGCCACCAGGTAGGAGCCACCAAGGGGCAGTCCAGCGGCCTTTGCCCCCTGCGGTCTTGCCCGCCTACCCAACTGGGGCCTGGCCTGGCCACGCCAAGCCTGCGCCCGGCGTCTAGCTTGCGCCCCAGCCGGAGGGAAAGGCGGGCGTCGGAGGCGAGCAGCGCCCCCTGCGGCCAACGTGGCGGCGCGGGCGGAGGGGAGGGGAGGGGGCGCGCTG